TGTGTGTGTGTGTGTGTGTGTGTGTGTGTGTGTGTGTGTGTGTGTGTATAGAAGCTACTCTATCCATAAAACAAGATCAGGGTGCAATGAAAAACATACCAACAAATAAGGAAGAGATTGAAATTAATAATACAACTTCTGAAACAAAACATTAGTTAGGAATACTGGCAGATAAAATCCTAGAAATTCCCCAGACCTACAAATTCCCTGACCTACACCCTCCCTACCCTCCAATGGCAATCTCAATTTTAGGCAGGGAAGAGAAAACATTAAAGAAGGTAAAAGACACAGAAGCTCACTAAGAACCAAATTCTGTCCAATGGGAGTTTCCACAAGAGAAAACAAAGGAACTACAGGGCAGGAAGCTATATAATAGAGACATAATAAAAGAAAATTTCCCAGAAACTTTTGAGAGAAACTGGAATCTTTATCTGAAAAGGCCCAGTGAAGGGTATCAAAAAAGAGTATCAAACCAAGAAAAATAAACTTATTCTAGGGCATATTTTAATGAAATTTCAATGTAACAAGGATAAAGAGAAGATCCTAGATGTTCCCAGAGAGAATAAAATAGGGCATCTACAAAAGATTGAGAATTAAGATTAATATCAGCTTTTTCAGCAATGCACTGGACACTTAGTAGACAGCAGAGCAAAAATTTCATGTTCTTAGAGAAGATTATTGTGAACCTCTTGGTGTGAAAACAAAATCAGGACTTGTTTAGGCATGTAAGGATTCAAAGATGATCTCCTATGCACCCACTGGGAGGGAGTTCCTTTAGGGTTCACTCTCATTTTGCTGGAATGCAAATAAAGAGATGGGAAGACATGAGATACAAGAAATTCTAGAACTGAACCAGGGATGAATGAAAAGAAATGGAAGGATGACAGCACTACAGTAGGCCTAAATAATTCCAGTATCCATATTACAAGAAATCCGTGGGCCCTGAAAAGAATGGAACAAATTCCATTCCATAAGCAGTACGTAGGAGCTGCAAGACCTCAGGAATATGGTAAAGGTGGTGCTTGTGACCATTCTTGGCAAGAAAAAAAGAAAGACAATTAGAAACTACAGGAAAAACCTAAAGCTGCACAAGAAAACCACGGTCCACATGTGAAGCTAACAAAATTGTGAGCCTCTTGAGTAACTGACAGAATGAAAGAAAAGAGATGGACCCACAAAGAAGAAAATGTAGTGAACTGCTTAATCAGCCGCTAATGGCAACTACAATCTATGATAACAGCACACACACATTTGCTGTCTTTTAGTCTCAATCTATAGACACAGCATGGATGATTTAATCATGTCAACACAAAATCAATCTTAATAAAAGGATAAAGGGAAAGCTGATGGAAGTTGAGCAGAGAAGAAGGGGCAAAGGGACAGGGAGTGAAAAGCTGCTGGAACAAGAAGCTGATCTTTTGGAGAGTGACCTAAGGTAGGGGACTGCTGGTTTTCATTAAGAAGCATTCCGGCCTCTTGGTGTCATCCTGTGCACACTACTCACTGTGGATGCCATGGCACAGAAACTTGGTGGTGAACTTACAGCAGTGTGGCTGGAGGGGCAGAGAAAGGTGCCTCCCAGAAGCCACTCCCTGCTTTTAACTATGATTCAAAATCACTTTTTATTGCCATTGACCTACACCCTCCCTACCCTCCAATGGCAATGTTTCAAAAAAAAAAAAAAAAAAAAAAAGAGCAGATAGGAAAGTCAACTTTCATGAACCAGAAGCTGACTGCTGGAACATTTTCTCTTTGTCCCTACTTCCCTGCTCCCTGGCCCTAATCTATTCTTAAGAGGCTTCAAAGGACCCATAACCCCACACTGTAAGAAATCCTTCCAGAACAGAACATGAAAGATTAAAAAAGTTAATTATAATCTTAGCCCCAACCCAAGCCAATTAAATCTTTCTCTCTGGTGGAGGCCCTGATCCTGATATTTTTAAAAGCTCCCAGATGATTCTGATTTGTAGCCAGCGTTGCACTCTGACTCCCTTGCCTCTGGTGGGCTCTATACTCCGCTCTGGGCCTTCCCCCTCTCGAAGACTGCACCGACCACTCTATGTGCTAAGACTCTAAGTGTGCAGAGATAGAACAGATTGCTGCCAGGAAAGCAACTTGGTATTTTTTCTTTCAGATAAAACAAATATTTAGGCACACTCTGGTTTATACAAAGGTGTCCCTCATGACTTTATTGTAATGGGTAAAAATTGGAAATAACCTAAATGTCCAACAACAGAGAAGTAGTTACATGAGGGTGTAAGCCAGAGGACACAAGGGTAGACAGGCTTAAAAACAAGAATTTGCCAATGATTTGAGGTAATAAGCATAACAAAAGACCACGTGGAAAAAAGGTCATGATTTAAAAAATCAGCTATGTGTTAAGATCCTGATTTTGTTAAAAAAGATATGTATTTAAAAAAATTAAGTGGCTCAGCCAGTTAAGTGTCTGGCTCTTGATTTTGGCCCAGGTCATGATCTCGGGGTCGTGGGATGGAGCCCCATGTCGGGCTCTGCACTGAGCGTGGAATCTGTTTGGGATTCTCTCTCCCTCTGAATCACCGCCACCCCCCCCAGCCCCCTGCCCCACTCACGCTCTCTCCCTTCTCTCAAATAAATAAATCTTAAAAACAAAACAAACCTGGAAGGTAGTAGCTGCTTTAGCTGCTATCTGAACGACTCAATAGCCAGGAACCCAAACCTTTCCTACCACTAGCCCCCTAAGGGGTCCAGGGCTGTGCCAGGGAAAAGATGGAGGCCAAGAGCACCAGGGTGGCACTCATCACCCACTTGCCTTGCTCAACAGCCCAGATGAGATGCTATTAATTGGCCAAAGAAGAGCCTGGTGTTGGTGCTACAGATCAGCATTCTGGTGTCATTCTTGGAGGAGCAAACTGTACAGGCAGTTTGCACTTCAACCAGATGGCAGGTCCTACTGAGGAATAAAGCGCCCCGGGCATGTCATAAATGAGCCTTCCAAAGACGCCCTGAAGGCTTGCTAACAGTCAAAGGAGGAAAATATGAAAATCTGTCAGGTCCCGAAGGAAGATCAGGTGCCCTCCTCACCGTGCCCGTCCCCGTTTGCACACGGTGATTCTACCGGCACTGTCCCTGGCTTCAGCAAGAAGCTCACAGCCCAGTTAAGAGTTCAGCTGCACCCACACTGGGTGGTCCCTCCAGGCACTCCCAGTGCTAGGCCACCCAGATACTGCCTGGAGCTTATTCACATCCGGGCTGGTGCCTATTCGTTCCACTCCTGTCTGACTAACATGGGGATGGTTGACTGCATTGAAAACATGGAGCTCTGGGTTCCTTGTACCACTGTGCTGGGGCCAGGAGACTTATAAACTGCAGTGCAGAGAAAGCATCAATGGTATTCGGAAGCAGGAGGTCCGCACCTGTGTTACCATCTGGCATTTTGACAAATACGCTGTGGAAACTTCGATTTGCTCCTGAACAGTTGAGAAGAACACTTTGGAGAGGGATTCATTTGATGCCACAGTGAAACCCCGTTTGTGTTCGGTGCGGGAGGATTTTATCATATCCTTTCACGTAAGTAACATACAGGGCCCTACTATCTTTTTCAGCTCATAACTCAATTAAAACCATGACCGTTATTTCTTTCCAGTCTTTTTTTATCTTTTAAGACAATGGCTTTTCTAAAGAAAAATAGTTGGGTAATAAAGGGCACAGCAAAGAGGCCCGCCTGGCATACTTCTGCCTTCAGGCCCCATTTCTCAGGTGAGTGAATGAAGAAGGGCATACCTGCCGTGTGCCCGCCCCCCAACCCCCAGCCCTTCTTCCCCAGGAACAGGTGGCTACTCACAGTGACTTCCTTCCCCAGGCTGATGGAGGCCAGGACACGCTTCATACCCTCTCCGCTTCCAATCTGCCAGATCAAGGCCTCTGCAGCTTGGTTCTTAAAGGGCCAGTCTCTTGCTTGCAGTTCATACCAAACAGTCCTGTGGGGACCGCCCGCACGGCGTGAGCTGCTGAACCACCCGGCCCAGCTCATGCGCCCAGGGGGGCTCCTGCTGCCACCGTGCCGGGAACCCAGCCAGTGCATCCAGGATCCTCCTCCAGCTTTCCCCACCGACCAGGCTTCCAGAAATACCGTGACAGAATCCTGGTGGCTCCTCCCAGGTACAAGCAGACCCATGGGCCAAAGCACCTCTTGTGGTGGGAAGTCTGAGGCTGCACAGGCTCTGAACAGAGATCCTGTCGAACCTCAGTGGGGCTCATGCCTACATCCAAGGTTGTTTGAGGAGTAACAAATACCAAGCCCAGTGCAAGCACCCACGTCAGGAGAAGAGACTACCCCAAGGGAAGGTACCCCGAGATTACAGGGTGAGGCCCTCACTCAGCCTCTCCAAGCTCCCTCACCTTCCCTGGCTCATCTTGGCCTTCTCCCTTAGCCCCCCACCGTCCAGTGCTGGGGCCACTAGCCACGTGGGGCTACTGAGCAACGGACACGTGGAAAGTGGACCTGCGGGGTGCTGTGGGTATAACATACTCACCAGATGCTGGAAACTTTGTGGGAGTAAAATAACTCCTTAATTTTTTGTTTTGATGACATGTTGCAAAGATCACATTTGGGATCTACTGCATGAGACACATTAGTACAACAGATTTCATCTGTTTTTCTTTTTCTAGTGTGGCTGGGAGCAAACTTTAAATTCTGTATCTGGCTCACGTTATATTTCCATTCTATTTTTCTTTTGGTCAGCTTTGTGGGGCACTAGAGGCAGGCTGGCAGGACCCCCGGTTCTCCCAGAGGGAGAATGCTGAGCTCTGGTCACCGTCCTCATGGGACACTGGGTGAGACTGACACCTTAGTCACCTTAGTGAAGGTGTGACTGTCAGTGACTGACACCTAAGCCTCCTCAGTCCTCGTGAAGCAACCTTACAGGAGGTACTGTAATTCTCTGCCTTTTACCGTGGGGGAAGAGGAAGTCAAGGATGTGGCCCCTTAGCCAACAAGCGGCAGAGCCAGGACTCAGAGCACAACAATCCCCCCCCCCCCCCCCCCCCCGCCGGCAGGACCCCTTCTTCTGGACACACTTGGCCTTCGAGCCGCAGGAAGGGGGACGTCAGGGGCCGCCTCACCCAAACGCATAGATGTCAGCAGCTTTGGAGAACGGCAGCTGGTCTTCGTCCTTCCCGGGGGTCATCTCGCGGACGATCTCCGGGGCCAGGTAGCAGAGCCAGTCATGGGACAGCTTCAGCTGGTTCTCACGCCTGGAGGCCAAGAAGCCAGGGCAAGGGCACGGGGCCTTTCAGCCGGCAGCAAAGAGGCTGCCTAGCACACCTATGCCCCAGGGCCAGCCTACCACCCGTGCGTGGCCCAGAAAACAGCTTGCATATCTGCACTGGCAGAGGCACCGGGGGAAGAGGGATAACCAGCTTCTTCCAGGAAAACGGACCAGTAACCGGTATTAGCAGGGAGTGGATTCTCCATCCCAGGAAATCCGTCTGCCTGTGTATCTTACAACCTGGCCTGGGGCTCGGTCTCCAGCCAGACTGCCACTCTCCCTCCAGGGGGTCCTCCCAGATTCTTGGAGAGAAGCCTTTCTCCCTACTCCCACCCTTCAAGATTTGGGGAAATAAAACCTGATGCTCTTCCTCATCACCTCTTCCTGACGGGGGTTGTGAACCCTAGGTCATTCCTAGAATATCTGCCCATTTCCCAAGCCAGTGGGGACCCAGCCTCTTATGGGGGTCAGCCTGAGAATGAAGTGCTATGTGCGAGGGACCCCCCCATCACCCAAACCTGATTCTGGACCAGAACCACAGGACCTCAGTGAACCTGACCTTTCCTGCAGGGAGGGCTGCCCCTCAGCAACGGACAGGAAGAGCTGTATCTCCAGGCCTGGCTGGCACTGCCCAGCCCCGCCCTGTTCTGAGCGGACACCCAAAGCCAACTTACCGGCCCTCTCGGACCACGCCTGAGATGCCAAACAGCCCGAAGTCTGTGATGACCACTTTGCCATTGTCATAGAAGACGTTCTTGGATTTGAGGTCTTTGTGCACAATGCCCTTGGCATGTAGATAGCCCATGCCCTGGAAAACAGCAAGCCTCACGTCAGCAGGGCGGGAAGATGAGGGACAATGATTCAGCGTCCACCCGGGCTGGGCCATGAGCTGGATGCCCTACCCAAGTCAGCTCAAGTAATCTTCAAAATCCTATGCAGTAGGATGATCTCCATTGTACAGACAAGGAAACCAAGCCTCAGAGAGGAGAAGTCACTTGCCCCAGGCCACACAGCAGTTAAGCAGCATTGCTGAGGTTTGATTCCAGGCTAGTCCATGTCACCATGCTGTCCAATAGGCACCGTATACTTGGCTCAGGTGTGAAGTGTGGATTACGGGTGGGGAGCTGGGGGGGGGCAGGAAGTATATAAAGAGCGATGACCCCCCCCCCCGTGTTAAGTCATACAGGAATTGAGTGATCTACAGGGTCTCGATCAGGCTTTGTACAACAAGCCTCTACCCTCAGGCTGGGCAAGGGCTCAGGGTGGGGAGCAGAGAGGAATTCCCACAGACGGAGTCCCTGAATTCAGGTGGTCCTAATATCTGTGCTGGGGTAGAGGGAGTCCTCGACTACTACCTATGTCCAGAATCCACATTCCATCTCGGCTCAGGTTCTAGTTCAGTGTGGGGCCTTGGACACTGGACTTCTGAGCCTATTTCCTCATCTACCAAGGGAAAGGGGCGGGGCTGGAGGATTTCTAACCACTCCTCGATTTGGAAGTGAACACTGGCCAGGTGTATGGGATGTGGGTGACCTGACACAAGCACAGTCTCGTCCAAGGCCAAGCTGTCTTCATGAAACCCAAGACTCCCATGTACCCAGATGCCCTTGGGAATGGGGGCGGGAAGCCACCACTGACACGGCATTCCCCGCCAGCTCAGAAAGAGGCCCGTGTAAAGCCACCTCCCAGCCTCCCACGCTGAGGGCACTTCACACTCTATGAAGAGCCCTTCGGCGGCTTTCAAGGTATCTTGGGGTGAGAAGTAAAATGGTAAACAAGAAACCACATTTAGAAGTAGAAAGAATGAGCCGTGAGGCAGAATCAGACAGAACTCAGCTGAGGCCAGAGCTCAGTCTGAGGGGGTCTGGAGAGCGTCAGAGAAGAATTTACACAGGCGCTCAATGGGGAGGGCTTTGGGTCTGCTGTCCCCCTGCCGTGGAAGCAGAGGGCTCTAGGAAAGAGTGACTCGCTCCTTGCCAAAACTCCACCCTGAATGCAAGAAGCTCATTCCTAGAATATCTGCCCATCTTCCAAATCAAACCACGGTACAAGCCTTCCTCAGTGGCCCAAGACCCCAACGTGGTCTGAACGGGGACCAGCTGTATGACTGAGGACAAGCTGCTGTCCCCTCTGAGCCTTGTTTATAAGAGAGCTGCCTCAAAAAGCCAGCTTCAAGAGATAAGATGGGGGCACCTGGGTGGCTCAGTCATTAAGCGTCTGCCTTTGGCTCAGGTCATGATCCCAGGGTCCTGAGATCGAGTCCCGCACTGGGCTCCCTGCTCAGCGGGAAGCCTGCTTCTCCCTCTCCGGCTCCCCCTGCTTGTGTTCCCTCTCTCGCTGTGGCTCTGTCAAATAAATAAATAAAATCTTTTAAAAAAAGAGAGAGAGACTTAAGTGCCCAGGTCTGGAACAGACGCCCCGCCCTTCCCACAATTTCACAATTTCACAGTGTCTCCAGACTGGCCCCCAAATCACAAACCTAGATCAAGTTCAGGACCCTGTTATTGTATTTTGAACCTCAAAACACCAAAGATGAGTACAAAAGGAAGTGGCTTAGAAGGTTCCAGCGGAAGGGGGCAGGGGACAGCTTTTCTGCAAGAGGAAAACCAAACAAGCCAGCAGAGAGGGAGCTTCTGGCTCTGCAGTTCTGAAATCTCTGAGCAGCTTTTCTAGTCTGCCCCTAGAAACTTCCAGATAGCTCATCCATCTGACCTCAGCCAGTCAGCAAGCAGACACAGACTCCCCAGTGTTCTGACCATAAGGAGACAAAACTAAATTAAGGGAGGAGGGCAGAGCAGGGGAGACAGAGGGGAGCAGGGCCCAACGAGTTTGGGGGACACTATGAAGCAGGTGTGACACTCAGCAGCTCCCTCCAGCTCCTCTGAAATGAGACTTACCGCAGATGAAGGCATAAATGTGCTCTTTTAATTTTGAGGCTTTAAAAGTTTAATTCATTAATTCAGCCACCTGGTGACGTGGAAATCTTGGTTTGCTCATGAAAGTCACTGTGATTTTTGTGTTTTCCTTACTACACACACACACACACACACAATGGATGGAAGGGGGGAGGGAGAAAAAGGAAAGGTAAGGGTGGAGGCAGGGGAGGAGGCAGGGAACAGGGAGTTGGGGGGAGCTGGTAAGAGCAAGCTTTTCCACAAAAACAAGAAAAGAGAAACCCCGACCCAGCAGCAGTCTGGCTTTTACCCAAGCCTGCTTGGTGCTAAAGAAAGCAACTTATAAAGAAGCTTTTCTTTCATTTGTGTTTCACTCCTTTAAAAAAAAGATGAAAGAAAGAAAAAAGGCTGCCTGAGGGCCAGTCCTCATGCAACCTGGATTTGGATCCTTGAAGGCAGAATGCGTGTGCGCTTTCACCCCGCCCTTAATCAGTTCTAGCAGCCTCTCCCTGCGTGCCAGGCCCCGGCCTCAACGTGCTCTCAGCGGACTACCCCATTCTGCTCTTGTGCCAATCCAATGGGGGAGGCTACGTTGGAATTCCCGTCTTGCGGGGAGCAGGCCAAGGCTCAGAGACTGAATGACCTGCCCAAAGTCACACAACTGGTGTGACCAAGGTTCGAACTCAGGCCACGTGTCTTTAAAGCCTCCTGTATTCCTCCCCAACCAACTCATCCGTCATCACAGACTAGGTGCCTAGCTCCTGGTTCTGAGCAGGTGAGGCACAGACAGAGGGAAGGAGATGGGGTCCTACCCCCGAGGGCCCCAGCTCAGAGATGAGATGAAGCAGGGGGATGGCCAGGAACCCTGGAACCAAGTGGGTAACCCTTTACCTTGATGATCTCCTGGGCAATCTGTCTGGTCTTGTTGATGTCCAGAGATGTCTTGGGGTCCCTCACAAATGAGTGCAACGTCCGCCCCTTGCAGAAGCTGTTGAGAGTGGTGGGGTCAGGCTGAGGGGTGGGGCCGGTGCAGCCGAACCCCACCCCTCGGAAGCCTGAGAGGAGCTGTGGAGAGAGTTGTGCCCCCGGCCTCCGGAAGGCTCTCTCTGTCCCTGGGACCGTGGGCACCAGAATCCCTGTTCTCCACCAAGCCCAACACTCATTCCTTCTTGGGCCTGGCCTGAGTGTGCAAAATCACACACACACACACACACACACACACACACACACACACCCCGCTCCCTGTGGCTCCGGGCCTGCCCACCCCAGAACAGGAAACCCAGTTCACCAAGGTTCCTGGCAACCCAGAGCAGCCCAGCCTTGGAGGATTCGAGGCAGAAACAGGCCTCCTCAAACTCAGCAAAGAAGCTGGTCTTTTAGGACTGTAAGCAGACAAAATTTGGGGCTCTCCATAATGATTCTCATGATCATTTTTACTGTTCTCTGATCACAGAGATTTCATTACAGTAGAGGCGTGTGTAGGAGGGGGTGGCATCACGAGGTGTCAGTGATTACTGGACAACAGGTTCAAGTTTTTGGGCCTCCCCCTGCAAGGACTCCTAAAACCCGGGTGAGCAAGGACCCAGAGAGAATGTATGGCTCATTTCCTATTCCCGGGAGAAGTTCAGGAAGGCATCTAATGAAGGGCCTGGTTTTAGGAAACCTCTCCAAGGAGATAGGATTCTTGGAGCCTCAGACACTTTGAGAACTGGCTGAGGGGTCTGGGATATTGGCTGATGGTTCCTTGTCTGTTTTCGAATCCCCTCAACATATCCTAAAACGTGAATTTTTTTGGTAATGAACGTTTTGCTATTTTGATCTATGTATTCCCTTTAAGCAGACTCAGGTTCTCAGAGCCCCAGGTGAAGAGAGACGGACAGATGAATGGACGGACAGCGCTGGAGGCTGGGACCCTGGGAGTTGCTGAGCTGGTGTAACCTAAAGCATCACGTTGTCGGGCTTTGGGCTGGCATTTGGTCCCCTTGATGTGGCAACCTGGGCGGTATCACACTGCTCAGGAATTCTGGTGGTTCTGCTTTATGTCTCTGATAAACAGGCAAAAGGGAAATTTTTACTTAGTAAATGCAGTTTGTTTGGGGGGGGGGAAGATTCTTCCAAAGTACAGGGTCTGGCTACAGGGAATGTCGTCAGAATATTAATGAGGGGGCTCTTGGCGGATAGGACTCAAGTGATTCCTAGTTTCTTCTTGAAACCTCCATGTATATTCCAAAATATCTCCACTAACCTCTTATTGCTGTTCCTGACTGTAAAAGTAAACACCCACCAACTTTTTGAATGCCATGGGCCAAAATGTTTCAGCCTCACACCCCCGGTGCTGGGGGGATGGGCAGTCACACACCAAAGTTGGTGGGGGGGGGGCGGGACACATCGGTGAGCACTTTCTGGAGTAGAAACAGACAGTATATGTCAGAGCATCACATGCGTATACTCTCACTTAGCACATACCCTCCCAGAAAGTCACCTACACAGAGAAATAAACATGGTCATTACGGCAAAGTGCCCAACAAAAGAGGACTGGCTAAATAAACTGGGGGCGACCTGTGATCAGCCAGAGAGAGAACCCAGAGCCCGGGCCACTTTCAGTGATTCATGCTGGTAGCTTGAAATCAGCTGTGGGAAGAGTATTTATTTATACCACAGGAATGAAGAGATGCCACAAACTAGGGCTTCCCTCCTCACCACCCAGAAACTGGTGGTTCCACATTTACGAGCACACTGCTGGGGTCAACGATGTGCCAGGAACGCTGGGTGGGCGTTAAAGACCGTGGCTGGCCTCAGACCTGCACTCAACCTGGGGAAAGCAGGTGCGAACCAGGAGGGCCTGTGCTAATTCTTACAAAGGAATCGTTTAAAAAACATGAGTATATACAAACTTCTGTGTTTAAACAGAAGGCACGATAAGGATCTGTCACAGTATCCACCTTGAGGGAGAAGCACCCAGTTGGGATGGAAGGGGACTGGTTTTCACTCTGCACCTTTCTGGAACCTTTGACTCCCTCTATCCTTAGGCATCATTTTGTTTATTTGTTCATGGCCACGGGTTATCTGATGGGGAAATTATACCCCATTTTGGTTCTCTTCTCGCCACCTTGGTCCTCCAGAGCATCCTCGCAAACAACGGGGCCCCCGGGGAAAGGGTGGGGGCGGGCAGGGGCTCGGTTACCTGGTAATGATGGCCAGGTGGGGCGGGTTCATGCAGGCCCCCATGAAGAGCACCACATTCTCGTGTCTCGTCTGCCGGTAGTTCATCACCTCCTTCTTGAACAGCTTCAGGTGGTCCTGGTTGTGGCCGTCCATCTCCAGCAGGCGGATGGCCACCTCGCCATGCCAGCGGCCGCGGTGTACCCGGCCCCAGCGGCCCTGCCCGATGGGCTCGCCCAGCTCCACTTGCTCAAAAGGGATGTCCCACTCCTGCAGGTACACACTGGTCTGGCTGGCCTTGCGAGAGATGGGGCCCCGCCAGGGCCGGCGGGAGCTGGGCAGATCGTCCACCTCGTCGTCGTCACCCTCTGCGTCTGACTTGCCGGTCTCCGGCTCCTCGGCCTGGAAGGAGGGGGAAGGCAGAAAGAGGGGCAGAGGGCCTGGGGTCAGCCAACTCGCCCTCCCCAGAGCCCCAGGAGAGAGGCATGGGGTCAGGAGGCCCAGGTTCTCGTTGCAGCTCTGCACTGGCTTGCCGTGGACACTGGGCAGGTCACTTAGCCCCATGGGGCCTCGATGTCCTCACCAACAAAACATGGTGCATGGCCCAGGGGGGCCCTGAGGCCCTTCTTCCCGAGAACGCTCCAAGATCGACTGATGAATGACATCTAATCGCTGGGAAAAAGCAGTAACATCCCCCTGGCATAGACGAATTTGACCGCATTTATCCTTTCTGGGCATTCCCTTGTTTAAACTGGGTTTCTGACTGTCCTCCAGGCAGGAGTGAAGCAGTCAGTTAACATTCTAAGCCTGGGTGGCTCAGTTGGTTAAGCGACTGCCTTCGGCTCAGGTCATGATCCTGGAGTCCCGGGATCGAGTCCCGCATCGGGCTCCCTGCTCAGCAGGGAGTCTGCTTCTCCCTCTGACCTTCTTCCCTCTCATGCTCTCTCTACCATTCTCTCTCTCTCTCTCTCTCTCAAATAATAAAAATCTTTAAAAAAAAAACACAATTCTAAGCCACACTGCATGGCCAGGGACGCAGGCTCAGCTGACACTTTGGTTCAAGGATTAAGACAGTGGTTCTTGGGCCTGGCTACGATCAGAATCATTTGGGGGGCTCTGACATCATACAGATGCCTGGCCCCACCCCAGACGGACTGAACTAGAGTCTCCCACGCTGGGCCTGGGGGTGCCGCGGGCTAGGGTGGGAAGCATGAGAGTTGAGAGCTTACTTTAGCTTCAAAGATAAAAAACCAAAAAGAAGCCTGCTTCGTTGCATTCCTCATCATTCCTCCCTGCTAGGCACCTGCCGCAGTGGGCTCCTAAGATGGCCCTTGCCAGGGCCTGGCACCCACACGCTCCCCACACCCCTGTGTGTGTGCTGAAGACAAGGAGGAGAGGAGAGAGAAGGCAGGGTCTCCGGGCTGCGCGTCATCCTCACTCACCTCCACGTCATGATCCTCCAACACGTCTGCTTTTGGCTGGTTGTCGAGCCTAAGAATCAAAACAGTGTGTCAGGGAGACCCTGAGTGTGGGCCACTCTGTTCTCAGCTAGGCAGAGGACTCCCAGGTGAGGTCTGAGAGAGGGCTCCTGGGCCCTCATCCTAACTGTGACCCCCCCTGCCTGCGGGAAAGGCAGTATGGATGCCATAGAAACGGACAGGAGGCTAGAGACCAAACCCCATTTCCCTTCTCTGGCCTCGGCCTTCTTCAGACTAACCTGAGGGTGGTGGGGAATGAGGGGTGCGCAGGAACCACCAAGGCCCTTTCAAATCTGATGCCCGGCGCACAGGGTTCTGAATGAACACACACACACACACACACACACACACACACACACACATGGGACTTGAACTTCTACTTGAGAACCCGCTCTGTCACCTCCTAGCTGTGTGACTTCAGGTAATTTCTTAACCTCTCGGTGGGTCATGATCTGCCTCCGCACATTAAGGATGACACCTACTTCGATACCCACCTTCACCAGGCTGAGAACTATGTGAGGAAACGGGAGTCGAGGGCTCAGCAGAGCCAGACACGGGGAAGGGGCTCCGTAAACAGGAGCTATTTTTAGTAGGTGTCTCTAGCTCCGAGCCTTTGCGCACCTCTCCTGGGTCATAAGACTGCCCCAGGTTCACACATATCCCTCCCCATGCGGAGTACACCCACAGGAGGCTAAGAAAACCCTCCGGGCGAGTTCAATTAGCCCAAGGAGGATCCCGCCCGGCTGGCCCAGGTACACGGCAGCGTCCAGAGCAGGAGGTCAGACACACAAAGGCGGGGTGGGAGGTGGCCAGGGGTGCAGGTCAAGCTTTAACAAGTCCCCATGGAAAAGAAAGAGAACACAGCACAGGGAGGCCTACCGGGTGCCGTCCGCCGCATCAGGGGATGGGACTGCCTGTGGAAATGCTGAAATGTCTAGAGGAAACAAAAAGCAAACACAAGGCCTGAGACTCCCTTCCTCCACCCCCTCCCCCAAAGGACACAGTGCTTGTGAAGCCGGCCCAGCCAGTGGAGTGGCTCCTCCCCAAGCGGCCAGCCCCTCACAGGGCCGCGTCCCTGTTCACCGGGCCACTGCCACTCCTCAAATGGGACACGGACGCAACCTTCACAGCGCTTGGTTTTGCCCACACAGCTGGGTGCTGGGAAGGGCCTCCAGGTGAGGGAGGAGGTTGAGATTCTCCAGTGAACCCCATTCCCCGGCAGCCAAACTGCCCCCTAGGAGCACGTGGTAAAAGCAAACTGGATATTATTGACTGGACGTGGGGGGTTCTGCTCAGAGGCGGTAGCTGGTTACAACAGCCCTTGAAAGCAGTGAGACTGTGGGGGGCTCAGGCCAGCAGAGGCCCAGGGCAGGGCTCTAAGGGGGCTCATTAGTGACACCTGGTGCCTGGCTCAGCGGCTGGCATTTCTGCTGGGAGCCAGAGGCCCCGTCCCCTTGGCTTCTGGGTTTGGGAGGCTGGCGGGGCCGTTCTCAGGCGAGAGCAAGAAATGCACAGTCCACACCTCCAGGGGCCCGAAGACTGGGCAGGTGGGGCTGACCCCGATCCCGGGACTTTCCCAGTTTTAGCACTGAAAGTCCCTGACCCCTTCCTCCTAGCCTGCACACACCTGGCCAGAGCCATATGGATAGTCCTGTAAGAACTTACAAATGCCCCAAGTTGCTCCCCTAATGGAGCTGGGCTGGAGAACAGAAAAGCCCGGACTAACCAAAATACCAGGACTTCAAGGCAGGTCTGTTTAACCCAGGAGAAAAACAATTAGCTACAGTCTTTGTCTAAACACACCGAGACTTCATATGGCTAAATTATACAAATGCTTGTCATCCTCAGCTGGAAAAATAAGTACTAACCACATAAACTCCCTGGGGGCAGGAATATGGCCAAATGCAAAGGTTGGCCCGTAGCGGGTGGGCAAAACAATTTTTGTGGAAGGGAATCAATGAGATTGAAAGTTGTCTCCTTGAAACTTTCTAAAATAAAGCTGCATTTTATCTTATCGCCAGCAGATGGCGTGAGGCAGCAAGGCTCAGGAAGGTGAAACCCGCAGACTTTTCCAACCTGGCTTCCCTTTCTAAGATAGCTTCTGTAAGTAGCTTCCTTGTCATGATGTAGGGGGAAGATATCCTATCGGATGCTCATAAGGCATCGGCAGAAAGGTCTCTCCCTTCACTCTGCAAACAGGATTTCTGCCACCTCCCAGCTGTGTGACCTTGGGTAGGTTGCCTATAGTCTCTGTTCAAGAGGCCGAACAGGACAGATGCCAAGGGCCCTCCCAGCAGATCACTGCCCCTGTGAAGAATCCCCCTCAAGGCGACCCACCCTGCTCCCTTTCCCAGCCGTGATACACAGCTGTCAAAACAGGTGTATGTGAGACTCAGGCACCTGAGAGGAAGGGGTGCCCAGGGGGGCTGGACAGAGGGCTCACGGCAAGGTGCAGTTAGTGGAACCATGCAGAGGACTCACCTGGAAAGATAAACTGCTGTCTATGATGAATGAAGTAGGCAGCTTTAAACAGAAGAGGAGGTGAGTCACACACACAGAACAGCAAATGCAGGGGCTTGGCGAGGGGGGCTGGTTACAGGGTGGGGCAGAGCAGGGTGACCCATGCAGGAAGGCGAAAGGGAGCTGGAAGGAAATGGGTGCTAGCGGGAGCCCCCAGCAGGGAAGGGGCTGGCCCCGGAGGACTTGCTGCAGAGGCCTGGCCCCTTCCATTCGCCTCCCAGGCTCACTTCTCTGTGAAGTGTGTCTGAGCCCAGAAGGGTGAGACACAAGGGGGAGGAAATAGTGCCTGTGAAAGCCGGCTGGGCCTTGTGCAGAGGAGCGGCCTCCCTTGGCCCCACACTCATGCCCAGAGGTGCTGAGGCCTCAGCAACCCGACCTCACCCTCCAAAACAGAACAAAAACCCACCTCTCTTAATCGGGACTAAAGGGGATGCGCTGGGGTTCTGGACTCTTGAGAGTTGTCATATGGTAAAACAGGGGTACAGATAGCCTTTCCCCAGGTTTATTCTTCGACATAAATGGAAATGCCCCCCCAGAGTACAGAGTGGGTGCATGGTAGGAGTCACTCCTTCCCCAGGGTAACCACAGGGCCGGGCCCCGGGCACGGCCATGACCAGCGAGATCATAGATCCTGGACAGAGTGAGGGCTCTGTGCAAAGGACAATGAGGGCCCAGCCCACAGACGTCAGGGAAAGCTGAGAGGCTCTGGCTGACATCACAAAATGGACTTTTTCTGTGGCTATTGTTTTTCAAACAGGGCCTTCCTTTTAGAAAAACCCAAGCTAGAAGTTTAGCGAAAGACCCAGTTTCAGAGCATAATGGCAGAGCAGAATGCAAAGAGACGGTCACTCCAATGGGCTATGGCTCCACTGCGGGCGGGATGGGTGTGCTCGGGACGACGCAGGAGATCCCCAGCCAGGCACACGTTAAGGCAAAAGAGAAAAGATTCCTACAAAATCTCAGTCTCCCAGCACCCCTGAAAGAAATCCCTAGGACCCTGGTAAGAATGGTCGAGAGAGGCTGCCTGGCCTCCTGCTGGCTGCACGTGGCTCCAGCTAAGGGTCGCCTGGCACAGAAAAAGCTCTGCCTCTGTCCTCCCGGGCCTGGAGCCCCAAGGGCCAGTGACAGATGGGGCCTGACCTGACCGGGCCCAGAGCAAACTGGAGTGTCCCAGTGGCCGCCAACCGAAATACCCAGAGGGTCTAGACCAGCTGCAAGGAGCTGCCAGGAGGGGCCAAGGCCTGGGCTCATCCTGAAATAGGCGAGTGGGCCTTGCTCTGTACCTTGGAGAGGTGGGACACCCCGGGCCTGGCTGAGGGACGGGGGACCCTGGCCCTACAGAGCATGCACTCCCCCTGAGACTCAGTGTCCTCATCCGCACGGTGGGAATAACCTAATCCCAACTTCACGGGGTCTCCTGTTTTATGGGAACAAAAGCTCCCCCTTAAGCAGCTTATTCAGATCACAGAGCAGGTAAGCAATCGAGCCCCAGAGTCCCTCTCCCAGGCCTTCTGGGCCTGCCCCAGCTCCCTGCACTCCTGCCAGGCTTTCTGAGCGCTCAGAAGCTGTGAGTGAACAATGCCCATGAGATCCCAAGCGCAGGAGGGAAGGTACGGGGATTGTGTCAAGAATCCAGGCTTTATGCCTGACAGACTTGGCTTTGATCCTGGCTCTGTCCCTTACGTGTTACAAAGCTCAGGGCGAGCCACTTCCTCTGAACCTCAGTGTCCCCATCTGTAAAATGGGTGTGGTACCAGCACCTACTGCAGAGCTCTCATCAGGTGTAAATACGGTAACATACTTGAGCTTGGCTCCCGGCAAAGGCTCTTAGTGCTGGCAGTGTTTGACCTTGAGCCTGCTGGCGCGTGCTGAGAAGGGACACTGGACCCCATCCTGAAGGCACACAAAAGCCCCGAGGTGCGGTACCTGGGAAGTTGAACCTGCTGTCCCGTTGGCCAGGAGAGGGGTTGGGGGGCGTGGTGGCACTGGATGGATTGGATGATGTTGGGAAGGGTGCCGGCGAGGAGGGCGTGGAGGATGTGGTGGAGGACGGGTTGCTGCTGGAGTCCAGGTGGTTCATGGCCGGAGGATGCTCCTGTGGGACCAGAGACACCAGAAGTGGGCAGGGACTGTCACCGCCCTGCCTGGCCTGCCCCTCCCATACCCCATGCTGAGACCCTCCCCTCCCTGCCTAAAAACAAGGAAGTCTGCCCAGGGCATCCTGACATTGTACCGGTCTAATCTTCAAGCCCCTCACCTTGATGCCCATCCCCTAAGGTACTCCTGCTCATCTGTCTTGAGCTCAAACATACTTTCCTCCCAGAAGCTCTTCTCGAGCCCAGGGGGGACCACACTCCTCCCCCTTACCCTCCTATAGCTAGCACGCTTCCTCAGGGCACTTGCACTTTGTCAAATGCATCTGTCTTGGGGGGTTTTCTGAAGAATTTCAGAAAATTCTGTGTGTCCTGTGAGGGCAGGGACCGCGCCTGCTCATCATACACCCAGTGCCCGGCTCTGAGCAGAGCACACAGGAGGTTTTTTTCTTTTTAATGAATACAGCCTCTGACAAGTGTTTAGTGTGTGGTACACAGTGGTGTCTAATAAATGCTCCCTCCACTCTTTTGCACACCTACTGGCTAGGACTGCCCAGGGGCCTAGCAAGGTCAAAGGGCCAGTGGAGAGAGGGCTACAGGTGGGACTCTGGCCCTGACCGATTTCCCAGACTCAAACTCCAATCCCTCAGGGGACAGGGTTGGAATTCCTTGGCCAAGAAAGTTGGGGCCAGGGGCGCCTGGCTGGCTTAGTCGGAGGAGCATGCAGCTCCTGATCTCGGGGTTGTGAGTTCAAGCCCCACATTGGGTATAGAGATTACTTAAAAAATAAAATCTTTAAAACAAAAAGTTGGTGCCAAATTGGGTTAAAGGCTGAGTTCTACAGGTTTCTGTTTTGCAGGCCCTAAAGGCTCTCAGGTTTCCAGGGCACCCCAGAACCCACCAAAGCTACAGTGGGCCTCACAGTCCAGGGACAGCCCCCACCACCTGGTGCCACAGACCGGTGGGGGAGGGAGCTGGGTCCCCTGAGCCCTTCCTCTCCCTGCTCACCCTGCAGTGACCCTGCAGTGATCCCTGTTCCTCAGGGCTGGGCCAGCCCGGGGAGGGAGAGTAGCCACGAGGCAGGTTGAATCCCGGCTCCTCCACTCAGCACCCATGTGACCTGGTTCAAATCAGCCCACCTTTCTGAGCCACGGTGGTTCCCGATAAAATGGGGGTATCGGCTGCTGCTTCATGGGCTCAGTGTTTACTACCAACACGTCTGCACTGCCTATTGTGTGCTGGACTGCGACGCAGGCACCAGGGACCAGGCGGGAGCAAGACCATGAGGCCCCGCCCTCCAGAGCAGCCACCTGCTGGGGACACAGGTCCTCAGCCCACATCCCGGCAAGGCCTCCCCGAGGACTGAGTGCGTAAATGCTGAGAAGTGTGTTTCAGGCAGCGGGAATGGGGGGGTGGCAACCAAGGCCCCGAGGTAGGAGTAGGCAGAGCCACTATGAGCAAGGGCAGCTAGAGAAGAGGCTGGAGACACACGCCGGCCCCTTAGATGACTGGGCCAAATGCACGGCCCTCGGCGCAGTGCCTGGCGAAACCTCAGTGACCTTTAGCTCGTGTTATGAGAATAACCATAAATCGGGGTGAGGGAAGGACGACGGCCGGTCAGTGCCCTCGGTGAGGTAAGAGGAGGCACCACCCAGAACTATGTCAGGTCAGGGCCGGGCAGGTGCATGCAGGAGGGCCTCCTGGAGGAGGAGGGGCTCTGAGTGAGTTCTGAAGAACTGACAAGTGTGGGTGTGGGGGGACGGTGTAAATGGGGGGGTTCATCTGGTGTTTGCCAGACAAGAAGACAATGCTGGCAGGGTGGGAGGGACAGATGGGGGTGCCTAGTGTCCCTCGCGAGGAAGTGTGTCTGTGTCTGTGACAGGCTGGACAACGCCGCTCCAGACCAGCAAGTTCGTGAACGTCTGTCCCCTCGTTACCCCTACAACACCCTGTCAACGAAGCATGATTGTCCCCACTTTCCACACTAGGAAGCTGAGGCTCAGAGAGGTAAGGGAACTCACCCAAGGTCCCTAACTGAGGCGTTAGGGACTTGCTCTGAGGCAAGAAAGGGGACTGACTAGTCGGGACTGGAGTTCAGCTGTGGTCCTACACCTCTCCACTCCACCTCTCCATCCCTGGTGGGAACACCACAGTTGGGGGAAAATGCAATGACAGGCGGAGGGAGGCTGAGAGAGGACAGGAGCGGGCCCATACGCACGGTCAGCTCTGAGGCACTGGCCTCCCTTGTCGGGTAGTAAGATGTGGAGCAGCCCTCCCGCCAGGCTGCACCTTCTGGGTCCCGGGTGTTAATGGGCCGTACCACCTGCTTCTCTTCTCCCTGCCCCAACCTCTCCCCAGTCCGGCCCAAGCCACGGAGAAGCCAGTCGCATGCCCCTCCGTAGGGAGGCAAGGGCCTGCTAAGCCCTGGTCTGGGGCTGGGGCACAACACACTTGAAAACCCACAGCCACACCGGCAGCAGCCCGGGGGGAGGCCACCAGCTGCATGGTCACCAGGGGGCTGCCATCTGAAGCCACCATGAGCACAGGCGTCTTATAGACACCATGCGCACCTGTGTCTGGGGGCCACGAAAGGCCTGTTAGACTCGCCTTTCAAATCTGTTGTAGCGGCAGAGGACCCCTGCTCTGGGCCTGCCCCTCGCTCACGGGGGGGGGGGGGGGGGCTGTGCTCAGGGTCCTCATCTAAAATGTGATGAGTATGTGATTTTTAGAACCATTATGAAGATCAAAAGAAAGATCAATGGAAAAAGTTCCCAACTCACAGTAAGTGCCCGGGAAATGTTCCATTAAACCGGGGAAGGTGGTCACGGGCAATTAACTACGATTTGGACATCAACGTGAAGTCTACGAAATGGCTAACAACAGGATCCCTGAAGGCCACCCTCTGGCCTTGCGTTACATGCCCCACTTCCCTGCCAGACCCCCACATTACAGGAGGAGTCCCGGGGCAGGGTGGGGGCTTCTCCCGGCAGAAGCAGCTGACCCGTGGGCCACCGCCCGTGTACCTTCTTTGTCAGTGCTTTGGGGAGGGTTCCGAAATGGGGCTCAGCTGCTCTGTCCACTGGGTTGTTGATATCCGAGGGGACAGATTCCGTCCTCCGAAGCCTAGGTTCTAGGTAAAAAGGAAAAGGGGGAACCATTAGCAGGGTGCAGATCAAGCTACAGAAAAGTCCACCCCAACCCCCGAAAGCAGAGAAGAGCGGAACACTCACGTGGGAGGAAGGATATTCTACAGGCAGGGGCTTCCTTTGTACACTTGTTATGACATTTCAATCTGGGGAAAGAAGGCAGCAGGGTCAGTGCACGGAGGGCGACTTGGGGCTCCCAGGGCATGCACGGGGGCTCCAGGCAACACTCACTCTTGACTGCCTTGATCTCCACGCACTTCTCAACAGACATTAACCCAGACGTCTGGAATATTCCACGTTGATCGTCCTAGCAGCTACTGTCTGCCTAACCGCCCAGCAAAGCAGTTTTAATCATACCCATTTCAACCTGTTGTGGGTCACACGTCTATTTCTCTTCTCTAAAGAAAAGGACACCCTCCACTCACATTCAGAAAACTAGAGACCAAAATCTGAACTTACAAAAAAGATGAATCAGAAGGAGAGTGTCTACATGACCAAGGGATCCCAGGGATGCAAGGGGCAGCCCCTCCCGCTGCATTCCAACACAGGCCACATGGTCTGAGGGTCAGCACGGGCCCAAATGGAAAGACCTAGGCCCTCAGTTTGGTCCTATCTGCTGCACCCTGTCTTGGGGTTCTCGACAATCAAATGGGTCGACAGTGGGGCCCTACCAACCTCACACCACGATCGTCGAAGAGCGTGGGGCTCAGAGGTCATTCTATGCTCTCCGTGTGAAAGGCATGGCTTGAAAGGGAGCGGGAGGTCCCCAATTTAAAGCCAGGAGCCACAGAAGACCTAGACTGGTGGAAAGTTCTGGTGGTGTCTCCCTGGTGGTCAGGGGAATCATCAGGAAAACACAATTTATCCAACAGACACGCGTGAGACCTGTCGCCTCTGGTCTGGCGGGATCCTAAATGCTTTTCCTACACACACTAGCTCAGAATCTGGAAGCCATCCTGATAGATAAAGGACCCGGAATCATCTGCCCACTTGTGAAAATGAGGCCCAGAAAGAGCAAGCATTTTGCCGCAGGTCACAAAGCAGTGGAGGGGCAGTGATCCAGGAGCAGAGACTCCAGGTCCATCCTCTGCAAGCAACAAAGGACACTCTGCCCCCTGTGCTGTTCCCTTCTTTGTCCTTCTGTCCCACCAGAAAGCACAATGGTACGAAACAAGAAAGCTGTGTTTGTATAGAAGCAACATTCTCCCTGAACTCTCCTCTTCTGTGAACACCATGAGCCATCTCTGTTTTCACCCCCGCCTGACCCTTCTCCCCAACTTGTGTGCTAACACATGAGGATAAACTTCAGAACTCCGCAGAGCTTCCAGAAAAGTCCTCCCATTCCTCTCGGACTTTGTACAGGGTACAACACCTGGAATGCTCTTTCTTCCTTGGGTCTCCCTGGTAAACTTCTACTCAACCTTCAAAGTCCACCTCAAATTTCCCCTTCTTCTGGGAATGTCTGCTCGATGCTTCCTTCATCTCTCTAGAGAGGGCTGATTACACCACAGTATGCCGAATGGGATTATAAATAGTAGCTTTAAGAACTCCCAAAGGGGTTCCCGTGAACTCTGACTTAACCTAAGGCCAAGATGAATCAAGTAGTAGGACTCGTACTAAACTAAATGTATGGCGTTCACTCGCCTCCCCCACCCCTTCCATCCTCCGCGCATCACCTGCAATGCTTGCATTTCACTCCAAACATCATGCTCTTCTGGCACACGTGGCAGACCTGGGACAGCCAAGACTTGGTGGAGAACCTGCAGGAGGTGGACACAGGAAAACGCTCACGTGGCTCAGAGACCAGAGCCTGGACGGGGCGGGGGGGGGGGGGGCGCCGGGAAACCAGGAGACAGGGTTTCATCCTGGAGCGACCGGTGCCCTCTCCCAGGGCAGGGATGCCCAGGCCCACTGCCTGCTCCCGGGCATTCAGAGTTCCCAGCCACAATGTAATCCTTGCCAAAATCCCAGTCAGTGTGGTCACGGATGCCAGCTCTCCGGCAGCAGCCATCGAAATTACAAGTGCGCATGCCGAGCGATTCCCGTTGTAGGAACTGATCCAACAGACACTCCCGTGGGTGTCAAATGAGGTACAGAAACTCCCGCGGGTGTCAAATGAGGTACAGACAAGGTTACTCCCCGCCGCGGGTCTGCAGCAGTAAAAAACTGAGAGCAGCCTATGCCGTTGAGGTGTGCAGACGGCTGACGATGCAAAGTACCATCCAACCACACCATCGGACACCGTGGGGCCAGAAAACAAAACAAGAAAGCTCTTTTTGCGCAAATACGGAATGATCTCCAAATTACACTATCAGGGAAAAAAGTACAACATAACTCCATCTATATGAAGTTCAAATACAGGAAAAAGTAACCAGTGAGGACAGAAGTGAACAGTAACCCCTGGGTGGTAGTGCGATGGACCCGGAGGGGCCGAAGATCAAGTTTTTGGAGGGCTAGAATGCTCTGGAGCTTCACCTGGGTGGTACACATGGGTGTATCCATATGTAAAAATGCATTTGGGCTCTCAGCTTTATGTAAATGATGCCTCCATCTTTACAAGAAAAGAAGCAAAGGATAGAACAGTGTGTATAATACACATACGTGTTTGCTTGTATAAAAACATCCCAAGAAACCGCCAAGATCTGCCTACAGGGGGACCCAGAGGGCTGGGGGCGGCGGCAGCAGGAGGGGAGCGCCTGGATAACCCTCTACACCCCTTGATTTTTGAACGTCTTTCAATCCAAACTAAATCAAAATTTTAAAAGTTAAAAAAACACAAAAGATATAGATTGGAAGGAAGGACAGGGGTTGAGTGGGTGGTGTCCAGCAGAGAAAAAGCAGAAAAAGTCTAAGGCAGTCCACAGGGTGGAGAGGCCGAGGGGCAGAAAGAACTCACATTGTTGGAGGAACAGATTTTTTTGAAAGCAGAGCCTATCACAGTAACAACCGAACACAGAATGGTTTGTAATGCATCCAGGGGTCCCCATTGTGGTGCCTCAGCCACAGCCTCTCCTCCACGAGACTCCGGTGCACGGGGATCAGCCCTGACGAGGCTCCAGAGGGGCCTGGGCATTGGCCAGAGGACGCAAGCCGCTATCTTACCAGCAGTGCGACCTCAGGCAAATTACTCAGGCCCCAGAGCCCCAGCGGGTCTCCACCTGTGGGCAAGAATTCCGGGCCAGCCTCCCAGGCTCACTGCAGCTCAGCTCACGCTCCAGGGGGAAACGAAAGGCTGCCACAAGTCGCAAAGCTCTTGACAAGCGTGCCCTGTCGTGTTCCCGACAGCCTTTAGCAGGGACGGCCAGAGCACAGGCAACCCGAGGCGCCGTTCTGCAGGTTGTCCAGCGTGACAGACGTGCTGTTTGTGACACACACCAGCCTCACAGGTGCCGAGGCCACGCCTTCGGGCCAGTCCATGTCATGGGCCCATATCAGCCCATGCCGACACGCACCAGCCACCAGAGTCCCTAGAAGTTGTTGGAAATCCAGACTGCCAAGCCGAGAACTTTAGGGATGGGCCACGGGAGTCTGGGGTTTCAAAGCTTCATGGGCTCTGATGTGCAGCCAGCTGTAGGCGTCACACGATCTCACGCTGGACCTGCAGGAAGCTCTCAGCTCCTCCTCCCTGAGACCGACACCTGTGTTTTCCCTCAGTGCAGGGGTGGGGTCGGGGAGGGTCCAGCAAGCCCATACAGCCACTGGTGACGGGCAGGGGCTCCAGGTGGGTGCAGGGCTGTGTTCACAGAGGTGATGGACAGACCAGAGGCAAAAAGCCCCGAGAAACAGGGATCAGAACGAATCCCCCCCCACCTCAACCTGCGATGAAGAGCGACCCCTCAGTGGGGGCCCCAGCCCAGGCAGGCCCCAGCCCAGCTCAGCTCTGGGCCCCCTCCCAGTCCCAGCCTGGCTGGACCTACCTGTGAGTCACCGACAGCCCGATATCCCTTCGTACCATCTGCGGGGATCCGTGTGGGAGATCTGCAGGGAAAGAGTCCAGGTCGGCCGAGGAGGCCTGTGCCTGTGGCCCTTCTAGATCACAGATCACAGGCTGGGTGGGTGAGAAGACTTAGTGAACAGGAGATAAAGGTGTCCCTGAACATGCAAACCAGGGACAGGCCAGGGAGACCAACGGGGCAGCGTAGTTACCCTCATGCCTGGCCCTGCTATTCCTGGGAACGTTACTGCCTGGTCTCCGCACATGGTTCGGAAACCATCCCCGTGTGGCTCCTAGCTTCAGGGAAAGGCAGCCTCGAGAGGCAGAAGGCAAAGCAACGGTGAGGACAGAAGTCCCCACCGATGTCCACCTCTTGCACTCCCGCACAGATGCATCCATAGGTCATTGGTTTGCGAGGGCTTAATGCGGGTCTCTTGTTTAGTGGGTAGGTCGTCTCTGGCCCTTGATGGCGGAGGGTTTGGGGCTAGTTAACGTCCCCAGTACCTTTGCAGCCACAAGCACCTTGAGATTGTGCTCTCAGAGCCTCCAGTGCCAGACCTTGGCAGGCAGAGCAAGGACATGGTGAAGCTTCACCAGAGCCCCACGTGGGCCAGTCCCACTGGCTTCCAGAGGAGTCTCACTCAGGAACGAGCTTTGAGGTGAGCATTCCGTCTGCCTTCCTGGAGGGCACCCTAGGCTCTCCCTGCCCTAATCCTGCGTTCCCCATTAGAACTGCATCCCCAGTCACGCCTGACAGGTCAGGCAGTGGAGGGGCAGCTGGAGGCGACCCCTCCATGGCAGCCCACATGTCCCACTGCCTCCTGCCCCATCTCTGCCTGGGCACCCCCGCTCCTCCCCTTCTTCCCCGTCCTGCTTCTGTGCCTACTCAGCACCGCCTAGCTCCCCCTGGAGGGCGGGCTCTCAACTGTGTCCTGAGGGGCTTCAGGGGTTCTGGGAAACCCTCTGGACTGGTGAGCTCTGTGGGCTTTTCCCTGGAAGGAGGGTCTAAACTGTTATCCAGTTATCAAAAGGAACCATAACCCAGAAAAGTCAGGAACATGGTGCTTGAGGGATGTGCGGCTGTCTCCCGTCCCCGGAGTCAGCAACAAGCCCCCTCTCCAAATGTGCTGGCCGGGCACACACCTGGTGCTCACTAAGTGCTGGTTCACCTAATGCCAAGCACCATATACCTGAGCACATAGAGAGGGTGAGCTGCAGGTGCTGACTCCTCCTCCCACACCAAGGGGAGTCTGATCAGGACCAAAGGGTCCTCTGCTACCCCGTGGTGATTCAGGAACCCACCATCACACTAGCCCAGCTCTCTTTGGCACGTCTGCCCTGGGGCTGACTTGTCCCAACTCACTCCTGGGATCCACGTCCCTGGGAGCAGCCAAAGCCAGCAAAGCACCTGGGTCCAAAAGGGGTTAGGCTGCCAGCCTAAGAGAAAGGGACCCTGGAAAAACGAGATTTCAACCACATACACCCCCTGTGGTTGACTGGTCATGTCTGCTGCGGGCGTGGGACAGGGGGGAGGGGAGACAGCATGGGGGCCAGGCATCCGGTGCCCTGGATCTAGATGGAACACTCGCCCTGAAGTCTCACTGCTGTGGTTCCTGCGTTACCGCAGCAACTGGGAGGCTGACAGGATGGGCTGTCCTAGGGATGTGGGTGCTCAATTCTCCCCCAAAGCGCTGAAGTTTGCGCCCGTGTCCCGGGGAAGGGGCAGCGCAGCCTCCCTCCTTGCTCACCCTATGGCCCCGTGGTTAGCCGGCAGCCAGCTTCATTTTGGCAGAGCTCTGGCCTGCCATCCTGCCCACCCGCCCCCCGTCACTTAGACCCTGCTGACGGCTCCATCACTCCGCTTAGCCAGCTCAGGATAGGACAAAAACAAATGGCTATTTTGCTCAGGCCCAAACCAGACATCTCTGCATTTCCAGGGAGACAATTCAAAGCAGACCCCAGAGGCGTGGTTGTTGCCCTCTGCTCTGCCTCGGGAGAGAGAAGCCCTACAGAGCAGCCCAGTGCAAGACCCTGCTGCCAACCTGGAGGTGGACGGCTCGAAAAAGGGATCAGGGGCCGCCGGGGTTCCCTCCGCCCCTCCTAAAGGGGCCTTCCCATTCACACCCTCCCATCTCCTTGGGGCCTCATGCAGAGTCAAGTCACATTCCTGCCTCCAGGTTGCCTCTCTCTCTCCTGAGAAGAGGGGTCCCAGGACATCAGCTGACATCCACCTACACCAGACGGATGGCGCGCCTCTGGGTGACTGCAGCAGCCCAGCACGCAAGGCTCCCTGCCAGAGGTCCCCCGTGGGGAGGGCCAGCTACAGACAGGGCCTGAGTGGGAACCGTCCACGGCCCAAGATGCTCTCCAGGCCTCTGCTTCGCAGAGAGTGGCTCCTGGCTGGGCTGAGGCCACCTGTCCGAGAGGTATTTCGCGAGGCATTTCCCAGCACCTCTGCTTCTGGATGGTGCAAAGGCCGAGTAGGCCGAGAGAGGGTCAGGGAAATCCACCCCTGACGGGGACAGCAACACAAACACGATTTCCCCGGGTGGCAGAGGGGATGAAAATGAATCACTCTTACCAAACCTGCAGGAGACAAAAGAGAGAGAAGGGATGATGTCACCATGCTGACTCAGCGTGTTCCCCAGAAGCCCCCCCCCCAACCAGGAGGGAGCGGGCAACGTGCTCAGGTGAGGGCTTTGCGTCCCTGGTGCGTGGGGCCAAGCTGGCCACGTGACTATGAAGACAGTTCCTCAATGGAAAGGGCTAGAAATTACCCCCTGTGGGCACTGGAGCTAGCCCTGCGCTTCGCGCTTCCTACATTAGCTTATCTAAGCCTCGCCAGCCACGCAGCCTGGTAGGGTTCGCTCCGTTTCACAACTGAGCAAACAGCCTCACAGTCTCCCCAGGTCACACACCCGCAAGCGGGGACAGCCCGCCCAGAACCCTGGCGGGGGGAGGCGGTGCGCTCAGGGTCCAGGCAGGAGACGGGGAGGTGGCTGGAGCAGAAGGACCATCACAGTTGTGAGAACAGAAAGGCGGTCCTCAAGGAGGGCCAGATGGGGACATGCCCTGCGCCAGCCTCCTCAAGGGGCGCCACTATCCCGGCAACGAAGAAAACTGGGGGAGACTTAGGCCACCTAGTCCGCCCTCTGGGCTCACTGAGAGCAACAAGGTGACCTGAGTGTCCATGTCAGGGCTAGTTCTAGTGGCTCTGTGTGGACCCGACTCAGAATCCCAGGGTGAGGCCCAGCTCACCAGCTGTGGGATCTGAGGACGTGGAGGCATCTGCCTGAGGCTCTGTTCTCCGCCCAGAGCCCAGAATGAGACCAGAGTCCTTCTGATGCTCTTCTTAGGGGGAAGATGAGAAACAGACGCATTGGGTTTACCCACTGAGATGCCCTCTGATGACCCACATCCATGTGTCCCCATGGTAGTTAACACTCTCTGGGAGAGGAGGATCCAGAAGGGGAGGAAGGCTACAGTCCCTTCTGGGGGATGTGGGGGAGGACCGGGCCCCAGCAGGACAGCCTGATGAGGAGTGGCAGGGTAGGTCACAGCATGGATTTCTCTCCTTGGGTGACATACTCAAAACCATCAGAGATGTCCAGGGCCCATCCCATAAGGGACCCAGGACAGCCTACACTGGGACACGGGGAGCAAGCCTACCCAAGACCAGAAAAGGAGAGCCCGTGTCAGGAGAAAAGCCAAGTCCTCAACCCTCAGAGGTACAAGAAGGTAGGAAGCACCCAAAGGAAACTCCTTCCTGGGGCCCCTGGGTGGCTTGTTAAGTGTCTGCCTTCGGCTCGGGTCATGGTCCCAGGGTCCCTGGGATCGAGCCCCGCATCGGGCTCCCTGCTCGGCGGGAAGCCTGCTTCTCCCTCTCCCACTCCCCCTGCTTGTGTTTCCTCTCTCGCTGTCTCTCTCTGTCGAATAAATAAATAAAATCTTTAAAAAAAAAAAAAGAAAAAAGAAAACTCCTTCCTTCCCCTCTGCCCTGCCCACAAGAGTACACTGATGAGGGCAATTCTTATAGTAGCAGAACCGACAGTGACCTGAGAGAAGATAGTTAACACTATACGATGCAATGATATGAAGTCAAAAAGATTAGGTAGTTTGAATAATTATAGGTATATGCAAAACCGGTAACCTGGTTGGCTCTGCAGGGCGAACAGGGAGGAAAAATGGTGGGGGAACCGCACACCATCGGCCCCTGCAACCTACAGGAGCTAGGAAGCTTCTGCGTCTTGCACTATGTCACCATTAGTACCTATTTAAGTATATAGGTTAACAACATTTTTTACATAAAAGAGTAACATATTTTAAAATGTATGGACGTGAAGTTCTCAGATATCAAGGTAAGTGGAAAAAAATAGGTTAGGGGCACCTGGGTGGCTCAGTTGGTTAAGCATCCGACTCTTGGTTTCAGCTCAGGTTGTGAGATCGAGCCCCACGTCGGGCTCTGTGCTCAGTGGGAGTCTGCTGGAGATTCTCTCTCCCTCTCCCTCTGGCCCTCCCCCAGCTCGTGTTTGCATGCTCTCTCTCTCTCAAATAAATGAATAAACCTTTGGAGGAAAAAAAAATAGGTTCTAGAATAGAGTACATGGTATTTGATAATCATTAGAGGTTTCAACCAGATATTCCAGTTCTCCCTACCTGGGCACATGAGAGAATTACATTTCTTGGTTCCTTTGTTTGGGTGGAGCCATGAATGGTGAGTGGAACTTGCAGGAAAGAGCATGTAATTACTAGTGTGTACAGCTAAAATTCTTTTTCCCTCTGCCTTAGTGGAATGTTCCAGACAGTGTTCCAGAAAGTGGCTATTCTGTCAGCCTGGGACCTGGAATGAGGCCGACCCACAGTGGACAGTGGCATGAGCAAAAAAATAGATCTTTGTCATTTTTTTTTTTTTAAAGATTTTATTTATTTATTTGAGAGAGAGAGTGAGCACACGAGAGGGGGGAGGGTCAGAGGGAGAAGCAGACTCCCTGCTGAGCAGGGAGCCCAACGCGGGACTCGATCCAGGAACTCCAGGATCATGACCTGAGCCGAAGGCAGTCGCTCAACCAACTGAGCCACCCAGGCGCCCAGATCTTTGTCATTTTAAGACCCAGAGAACTAGGGGTTACTGCAGCAGAACCCAGTCTATCCTTACTGATGCATGGTACCATTCTGTGTGTGTGTGCACGACGGCGCGTGCACGCACATGTCCAGAAAAGAACCTAGCGGGCAAGATTCGGTCCAAACTGCTAACGAAGCCCGGAGAGTGGACTGAGACACAGAGGCACTTTACACTTTGCACCCTTCTAGGTCGGTTGATTTTATTTGTCCTTTGAAAATAAAGCCCATATTCCCTTTATGATGAGAAAACCGTAGACAGAACTTTCAGTGGATGGCACACTGAGCACCAGCCTGGCGGGAACACTCACCTCATCGGGGAGACCTCGTCAATGCGGTTCCCCAGCTGAGACTCATGGGACTTGCTCCGGGTGAGCGTGGGGAAGCTGGGCAGCAGCTGAAAAACCTTGCGGCTGGGCGGGGGCGGCGTCCGCGGCGGTTTCAGCTTGGTGTGCCTTCGCAGCTGGGGTGTGGTCGGAGGGGTGATGAAGCTGTGCAGGGCCCGGGGGGTCAGCCGGCCACTGGTGTGCAGGAGGATACAGGTGTCCGAGAGGCCCTCACAGGGGCCAGGGATCGGGGAGTCTGAGGTGGGCAGAGCGGACACAGACACGGAGCGGGGGCCCTGGGTGCTGCCGCCCATTCTGCCCAGCTGGGTGCCCCCTGGGGGCCAAGGCAGGCTGGCCGGTGAGAGGGCATCCGCGGAAGGCCCTGAGCCACTTTCCCGCCGGGCATCCAGTGAACTCCAGCCCAAGTCCTCTTTGTGCTCTCCTCCTGTGGGCCAAGAAGTGGGGTCACAGATGGTCAGAGCTAGAGGGACTTACTAGCTGGGTGAGGTGGCCAGGGCCCCGAGGTTAACACCTTGCCCAGGGCTGCACGGTCCCTTCTCGGCAGGCTTCGACTCGCAGCCTTTATACGGGCCTCTCGCGCACACACATCACCACCCGTGTCGTCTGTGACTGTTGAGGCCACCAGCTCAGATATTACTGTCCCCATTTTATAGAAGGGAAATGAGGCCCAGAGACAGAATGGCTCGTCTAGGATTCTTGCTGGCAGGTCTGTGGGGAGCAAGCCGGGAAACCCAGCCCCAAAATGGGTGACCTCAGAGAGGGAAGTGGTAACTGATCTTTAAGAGTCAAGAAGGAGAAGCTGGGGTGCTCAAAGCGAATAACTCCATGTCAAGAAAATTCAAACACCAGGAAAGGGGCGTACCAACCTTCAGTAGTAATCTGCCCTGGGAATTTACTGTAGGACAGAAATCCGGTTAGAAGAGGATCAATAGCCAATTCCTTCTGAGAGGCACCCGTGACTTTTGGCTGCCCACACAGCGGACCCCCGAGACCTTGAGGCTCTGGGCAGTTCCAACTCAACGGCCCAGTCTGTCCATTCATTCGAGCATATGCTGGATGCCGGGTGTCAGGCCATGAAAAAAGACATCCACTGTGCTCCGAGAGTCCAAACAGCAGGACAGCAGCGTGCTGAGACAGAGACGCCCAGGCCCTGAGGGAGCATGGAGAAGGGGGACCCTAACTAGCCTGGAAGTCGGGGTCTTCCCAGAGGTGGCGGCGTTTGGGCTGAGCCAGCTGGAGAAGGTGAAGCAGGTGCACCAGGCAGAGGAAACAGTACATGCAAAGGCAGGGAGCCCACCTTCTGGTGACTACGAGGAGTTCCTCGTGCCTGGAGAGGTCAGGACGAGCTAGAGAGCTGCAAGAGGCCAGCTCAGGAGGGATCTCGGCGGCCTCGCCAAGGACTTTAGGTTGGAGCTTATATGGGATGGAGAGATACCAAAGGTTTGGGGGCAGCGAGAAAGGAGCCTGTCTACAGAGACCCCAATGCGGGGAAGGAAAAGACACCTCCCTCCTCATTTTACCAGTGAGGGGAAAGTACGGGAAGGTCAACGTTGACTCAAGACAAAACGACCTTCCACACTGGAGTTATTCCACCTCTGTGCTTTCTGCCCTGTATCGCTCAGTCTTCCCAGCACGTCAGGGAGGCCAGGAACGCTGACAAGGTCAGGCGGCGAAGCGCGAGGTGGGACAGCGCCCTCGGTCCCGACCACGGCACTAGGCCTCCTCCCACAGGCTGTCCAGCCTGAATGGCCTACAAATACAGCTCAGCCTGATGAGCCAAAGAGCTGTCATCAGAGGTGCTCCAGCCCAGCCCGGACAGGCATTGATCAGGGATGGTGGAGAGAAACTGGCCTTCACAATGCTCAAGGGCTCTTTGTACATGTCCTCCCTCCTCAAGGACCTTTTCCCCTACTTCACTGCCTCAAGACTTTCTTCTCAGGAATCCACTCCATGGAGTGAGTGACTCAGTCCATGTGTTCCTTTTGTTTGCTCTTACAGAACCTGCAGCCACAACTGTAACTTAGAGCCTGGCCTCCAGGAGGCTCTGGCCTATCTCTTCCTGAGGGGATGGAAGAGCGAGTCCCATGATCCACGCGCAAGTCCGCCACCCAAGGAAACAAGTCCCAAACGCTTCAGACTGCCCATTTAATCTCCGCTGCTTTGAGCCGCCCAGGGATGGCACATGGGCCTCAACACGCATGCCAACACCAGTTAACCGGCAGTGGCTCTTGAGAATGACTCTGGAGTCACTCAATAGGAAGAGCTGGGGAGTGATTAGAGACGTGTGCTATGGATTAGGGACTAAAGCATCAGCAGAAATGATCTCCCTTGTTCACTGGCCACTGGCATGGAGAACCATCCTTCACTCACCTTTCTTAAGTAAGACCAGGGGCCACAAGGCAAATGTGTTCAACATTTTCCAGGACCCCGCAAACCTAATACTGAAAAGAGCACTAATATACGCCAGGCTCTGGTCTAAGTACTTGATGGTCACTCATTTCATCCTTACAACAACACAATGAGAGAATGGTGTTATGACCTCCAACGTACAGATGAGGAAACAGGCATGGTGGGGTTAAGTCACAGACCAAGGTCCCACAGATTCTAGGAGTGCTGGGCCGAGACAGATGGATTCCACGGTCCATCTTTACTGCAATTAGACTGCTCTCACCAAGCCCAGTTAGTTGCAATAAAGACTATGACCACAGGATCTGAGAGGCAGGGCGATCACAGTCCCCACCCGGTCCCCAGCAGGTGCGCCAGGAGTATGGTCACCACTGGGCAGACCCATTTGGGTGAGGTGTGGCCAGGACCCTCTTGCGGACGTAGAGGTACCACAAGCTGAGACCAGATGAGAAGGATGTGGAAAAGACCCTGTCCTCCCCAGAGCCCTCCTCTGGGGCATAGTAGAAAAGCCCCCCTCTGAGGAAGAAACCCAGCTCTGGGGCATGCCAAGTGTGGGACCCCAGATAACTCACCCAATGCCGCTGATGCTCTAGCTACAAGAGGTTCTCCCCACCACCACTTAAAAAGGTGCTGCCACTTGGGGAGCCTGGGTGGCTCAGTTGGGTAAGCGACTGCCTTCAGCTCAGGTCATGATCCTGGAGTCCTGTGATCGAGGCCTGCATCGGCCTCCCTGCAGGGAGTCTGCTTCTCCCTCTGACCCTCCTCCCTCTCATGCTCTCTGTCTCTCATTCTCTCTCTCTCAAATAAGTAAATAAAATCTTAAAAAAAAAAAAAAAGGTGCTGCTACACACATGTCAAGTGCCTGGCTTCATAAATTCGCGTTAATGAGTTGGTGATGTCCCTAGCTTGGCACCTAGGACGGGCAGTCACCTTCCCAACACAAATAGGTCACCTCCCCTCTTCGACTGCTGGCTCCTCCACAATTCTTTACAATTCAGGCATAAGGAGGGAAGGCTGACAAGTTACCCACCCCAGTCCCAGCTTGGGTGGCAAGTACTTCTAAATTTCCACAATGTGGAAACAAGCTAGCCACCCACAAAGATTGAGGCTGGAATCCTAGCTCTGTCACCCACTGCTGGGTGTCCTCAGCGAAGCCCTTTCCCCTCTTTGGGCTCCATCTCCTCTGTAAAATGTGGGCATGAGAATGTGGACTATGTCTCTCTCACGTTTATTCTGTGGCCCCTGCTGGGAGGCCTGGCCTGTCGAGGTCTTCAGAACTGAGTGAAGCTCTCCATGCTGGGCTCTGTGTTCAGAGGAGGACTTGGGACAAGGGGGTCCAGGAAGAAATCAAGCCCAATCACCTCTGGGGGGGGGCGGGGAAAGGGATCAAGCAGACTATAAACCCAGTAGCTTCCTTAAGCCTCAGTCAGCCAGAAATAAGACAGGTGGCTCCGATCATTAAAAATGGGACTAATTCCATTCATTAGGCTCACTGTAAAGCCTTATCGGTATGGTATTGGGAATGTGAAATCACGGCGTTTAAAGCCGTTTCCAAGGCAAGATTTAAAAAGCCTGTAAATAATTCCCAAGGAACTCCTCATAATGCCAGGATGACACACTTTGCCTGGGGCGGCCATGTACACACTCACAGCTGAAATACCACACAATTTCTCTCATCATGCTTCTGCCTTCTGAGCACACAGCCCAGCAGCCAATGGGGACAGGAGAAGGTAGGAAGCAGGCTGGGGGTGAGCCGGGCTGGGGAGGGGGTTGGAATGCAGGGAGCCGAGGGAGGGTTCAGAGCCCAACAGATGTGCTCAAAACGGGTAATCACACAGGGCCCACCCAGTGGGCTGGACTGGGGTCTCTGGCGATGGCAGAAGCTTCCCTGGGTTCATCCTAGCCAGAGCAGTCGGGATGCAAACCCTCTATCTCAGATCACACACTCTCTGCCCTTTCCAAGCTGCCCCAGAAACCCTGGGCCATACTTGCCCCACCCGAGTCAGTGGCCCCAGGGAAGCAGGACAGACCTGGAGAGAGAAACCTGCTTATTTCAGCCCCGCTGGAGGGACAGGGAGCCGATGGGGCCGGCCTCAGCACTGGGGAGGCCAGTCCTACCTACCCAGACCCGTCACTTTCCGCAGGCAGGCAAGGGCGTACTGCAGGCGGCTACACTCCTCGGCATTGGCCCCGTAGCGCCGAAGCGTCTCCTTCACCTTGACCTCGTTCATGTCCAGCAGGGCATCCAGCGTGAGCTCGCTGAGGATCTCCTGAGGAAGCACAGAAGGGAGAGGCAGGGAGCTGGTGAGCAGTCAGGCCGGCCTGGGCTGGGCTCCCCCGCTGAGTGGCAGGGGCCAGGTGCTGGCAGGCCGGCCTCGGGACCAGAAGCCACCACCTGTCCGAGGACACAGGCAGCTAGCTCTCGCCCCCACCCCCAGCACTCCCAGAGACAGCAGCTGAGGTTGAGACACCAAAGCTTCAGGGCTGGGGTGGGGGAAGAACAGAAAAAAAACCAAAGTTATGATGAGGGCACGTTGCCCGCTTGTTTCTTTTTATGCCTCTGCACAGAAAAATGATGAATCATGACAACTTCTTAGAATGACAAGAACTTCAGATAAAGACGACCCTTTGCAATTTTGCTCTATCGGAATTAGACAAGATAGATTCCAAATAAAACTGGCTCAACGAGAGAAGGGTTAAAAAGAATTAACCCTCACGAAACACCGTCTAGGACCTTAACTACCTCGCCTTATTTAATTCTCAGTCAAAACCTCTCAAGAATTCAAGGTAGCAGGGAGGAAAGGCAAGACTCAGGTACGACAAGGACTCCCTGTGGCCTCTAAGGATGGAGGGGCCAGATGGGAAGGGACGCAGGGGGGCTTCTCGGAGAGAGAGTGGCCCCTGGCGGACCAGCATGGAAAAGGGAGCCTCAGACCTACAGCCCGAAGGAACTGGCTTCTGCCAACAACCTGAATGCACCTAGACACGGCTCCTTCCCAAAGCTTCCAGGTAAAAGGCCAGCCCTGCTGACACCTTAAGTTCTTGGGCCTGGTGAGATCCTCCATCCTGTTCTCCTCCTGCCGAACTGTGAGCTAAGAAATGGGGGATGCTTTAAACTGCTGTGTTTGTGGTTATTTGTTATACAGCAACAGAAAACTAATACAGAGAGTGAATATTTGAATCAAGGCCTGACTTCAAAGCTTGTGCTCGCTCTTCTCATCAAGAAGGGAGAAAACCCCTCCGGTTCTGACTGCTTTGAGCCATATGTGATACCCAGTTCGGAGCAGACAGAAGCACATGTCTGTGGCCTCCAGGGGCTTGCAGGTAACTGACATAAAAAACCAAGTCACTGCAAAGCAATATAATATGGCCGAGCACAGAGAAAGCTCAAAGAGCTACCTGATGGGGGGGGGGGGGGCGGGGAAGGAGGGGTGGGACTAGGGATCAGGATATTTCTTCTTCTTCTTTGGCCCCTTTCGTTATTTTCCAGATTTCCTATGTGAGGGAAGGCCACATCCCACAGCAAATGATTCATATACAGCTTGTAGTTCTTCAGAACCTAAGCTGATTTTCATTGATGTCAGTTCGCTGTGTAATTTTCTTTTAGAAAGAGTTACTGTCCATTCACGTGGCTGTAAATCATAGACTTAGCTGTCGAACCTGAACCTGACGGAGATACTGGCTGTGAGTCCTTAGAGCAATGATCTGGGTTTTTTTTTGCGATGCTGGTGGTGCGGGCCACCGCTGAGGCCTGGGCTCTGGCCATGTCCCACCCCCACCCCCACAATCTTTTCGTCTTATCAGTATATTCTTCAATCTCCAGGACTGTGGACAAGAATCTCATAGCTCTTTAGAGTGATTCACACTGAAATTTGGAAAAACAGATGTGAAAAAAGCACCAAGAAGCTCATCACTGGCTGGACAAACCCTTGGTTGTCAGAAATCCTTCCAGATGATATAACAAGAGCGTCATAGGAAACCGCTGATAACAGCACAGGCAGGAGCCTGGTCAGATAAACGTCCCCAGGCCTCAGCTTTGTTTAATCCATGTGTCTTTATTGGCCTCTAAGAGGCTCTTCATCAAAATGCAGTTTCGACATCTTTCCCCTCCCTCTACTATGAAAGCCAACTGGGCAATATTGTCAAGAACAAATGGCGGTGACATCGAGCTTCACACAACTGCACAAAACGACCCCCCACCCTTCCCCGGAGTGTTCTCCGTGCTCACCAAATGTGTATTCCCCCCAGGCTGTGATGACTCAGCAGTTCTCCAGAACAGAGATTCAGAAACCAGCCTAGAAACCCAATCCCCAATCTAATTATCATGCAAATAGGGATTTTCTTCCTTTCTATTCCTCTCCTCCCAACCCACACCAAGTTTCCAGTTCTCAAACATAGTAAGTACGTTTATTATGACAAACCATCTGCCAGGACAGTGTGCCCAGTGCTTTGTATACTCTCTCGGCTCAGCACAATTCAGCAAGGGTGGGCGAGGGTGCACCTGCCCGAGCCCCAGAGACCTCAGGCAGGGCAACCTAAGGAATGGCCAAATCCACGTGTGTGGGATCCCAACTTCCTTCAACTATTCCCCTGCTGTCATTCCTCAACCTGGCAAAGCCTTGGGAGGCAACAGCTAGCTTGAGGGAAATAATTTTTTTCAAAGTAAATTAAAGGAATTAATTTCTACCTGCTTTCTGGAAAAAAAAGAAAAACCACAACTATACTATGAAATGGAAATTCTTTGTTCTTTATCAAAGAGAAGTAACCCCCCCAGGAAAGAGAAAGAATATGTTCAAATCCATTCCCTTAAAAAAAAGAAGAAGAAGAAGAAAAAAAGCTATTCCCTTAAAGTTTCAAATTAGCTGGAAAGTTTCTCCCACTGCCATGAGGCTTCATGGATTAGCCCCACCACACAGGACCGAGGCAGCAGAGACCACCCTCCTCCTCCTCTGCCCTCTCTTTAGGCTCCAATTCAAACCAGGGGTTGGCAAGACAAATAGGGGGTGCGGGGGGGGGGGACTGGGACAGTAGAGCCAATCCAAGGGGCCCACTTAAAACTGGAACTGCTCCTGCCTCTGTCTGATCAGCAACTTCTACTAAAGCTAGCTTCCCAGGGTGTGAACTGTGCATGTCCATCCATGAAATGAAGAGTGCTAGCACATGGTCATGGTCATCATTTCTGACTGCTCCTTCCATTCCCTAACCCCTCCCCCCGTCCAGGGTTGGATCACTGAACTCTCCCCTAAAAGCTGCGGCCAAAAAAAGCTATCCACCAGTCAGCAAGTTACCTGGTAGAGTAAGGGTCTCAAATACACAAGCCTCAGGGCCAGGCCGTGGGAAGAAATGAGACCAGCGGGGATGTGGCCCTCTGGATTTATCTTTTAGTAGTAAAGACACTTCTCTTCTTTACCGGACAACAAGAAACCCAACAGCAGCAAGGACAATGCTAATCAGAACCCCACCCTCTGCCTTCATTCAGTGTTGGGGTCTGAGGGGAGGCAATGGGAGGGTTACCAGATCTTACTATAGGGAAATCTGGGGGCATCTGCGTGGCAAAGTGGATTAGGCCTCCGGTTCTTGATTTCAGCTCAGGTCTTGATCTCAGGGTTGTGAGAGATTGAGCCGGAGTCAGGCTCTGCTGGGCGGGGCGTGGAGCCTGCTTAAGAGTCTCTCCCTCCCTCTGCCCCTCCCCCACTTGTTTCCCCTACTCTAAAAAAAAAAAAGGAAGAAAAAGAAGAAAATAAAAAAACAAACAAACTGGATCTTTATTTTAAAATAGCTGATTTGGGGGCACCTGGGTGGCTCAGTCGGTTAACTGTCTCACTTTAGCTCAGGTCATTATCTTGGGGTCCCAGGATCGAGCCCCACGTCAGGCTCCCTGCTTAGTGGGGAGTCTCCCTCTCCCTCTGCCCTGGTATCTCCTCCAGCTGTGGCCCTCCATAACTCGGCACCCCCAAACCTCACATATGGATGTGATCTGCCCACCCGCAGCGACAGGCACGGCTGAGTCTGAGTTAAGAAGGTCTTTTAGACCACGCGCAACTTCTCTGGATCACCTCCACATGGAAAGCACATTAGGGAATGAGTTTCACCAACTGCTGCAGGTGACCTCACATGCCCGCCAAGAAACGGGCAGGTGAAGCTGCTGCTCTGAAGCCCCCTCAAGCCTGAGAGGCCCCACAGTCCTCAGAGGGTCTCCCACCTGCCTGGAGGCACGGGGAAGATGACAAGTTGTCTCAAAGCCAAGGACCCGGACTGAGGCTCTCGGGAGGGGGTAAAGACTGAGAGTCCATATTGCCTCGAGGAGAATTCCTGCCCACCCCATCCCAGGTTCTGTTTAAAAAGAAACCAGGAACTAGAAACCAAGAAGGGAAGACAGGGCTGCCCGGGCAGTGCAGGGGACTCCAAGCCCCGGCTCCGGCAAGGCTCCAGTTTGCACCTGAGCACAGAAGTGGCGGTGAGAACCTGGGACAGAGCAAGAGCTCCAGAGAACACTGGCTCCCGGCCTTGGCCAGTTCCTTCAAGTCCCAGTCTATGTCCTCCAGTAGGTGATGGGAAGTTATTCTTCCTGATGATCATTAGACAGCAGGGTTGGTAGAGGGCTGAGGTCACTCCTGGTCTATGGTAATTCACCTGCCGGTTCTGTTCTCTAGAGCAGGCTGCGGGGATGGGCCGGGCCAAACACAGCTGTCCCCTCCCCTCAGCAACTGGCAGCAGGTCATGTCAGGGGCCAGGATGAGTATCAGATGGCATCCTGGGACTTACCAGCAGCCACGGGGCTGCCTGGGGTCTATACTTAGAAACCTGTGCTGGCGGACACGGAGAGTGGGCCACACTCGCCATGGTCAGTCAGGAAGGGAAATGCCAGGGGCTCCAACGCCTCTTTGTGGGCCACGTACAAGAACCTTGGGCAGCTCCAGGCAGAATTCCGGTGAAGGCCTGGGTTAAAGGAAGGCCGAGAAGCAAACCTACACTTTGTGTTTCTAGCTAGCCTTCTGGCCCCAGAGCGCAGGATGGGTCAGTGCTGCTAGCTCTCCAGGTCCATTTGCAGAACCCAGATTTCTGGTGTGTGGGTGCAGGGGCGTCCCCCCGACCCCCCCCCCCACCAACTTCCCTGGCTGCAGGTTAAAGAAAGGGCCAGGAACCTTTACCACAGATGTTCCCCTGGGACTGGTCACACCAGAGAGGCCAGAGGTGGACCCCCAGAGCCCTGTGGATGGTGATGCAGACCCCTGCACACCCCTCTGAGGCCAGGGGGGCAGCTGGGGAA